AGTGCGGGGGGTTTTGGGAATTTCCAAAAATTATTGGGGCCCCCCTTGGTCCGCTTGGCCAGGAACTGGGGGGGGTTGAAAACCCCTCCTTTAGAATTTTTTCATCGTTTTTTATTCAATTTTTTGGAACCCTCCTTGGGCAATTTAAGGTTTTGGAGTCCATTTTTCCCCCTTTTTCGGAAAACCCTCCTTTTCCTTCCCTTTGCCCTTTTTTGATCCCCCTTTTTCCGAAAAAATTCCAAAATTTTTTTCCCCTTGTTTCCCCCCTTTTTTATTGTTTATCCCCCCCCCCCCCCCCCCGGGTTGTGAAGGGTTTCAACTTCCACTATTTTTGGGGAAAAAAGGGGAGGGGTGGTTTTTGGGGAACCCCTTTTTTTCCTTTTTTTTTGGTTTTAGAAACAGGGGGAAAAAAATGGGTTAAAAAAGCCCCCTTAAAAATTTTGGCCCCTTCCCCGGGTGGGCCAAACAAGGCCCCGGCCCAAAAGGAAGGGCACTGGGCCGGGGCAGGAAGTGAAAAACCCCAGGGTTAGCAAGGTGGGCCTTTTAAACAAAAAAGTGACTGGGGGCCCGGAAGGGGAACAAAAGCCCGGGGCCCCCGCAAAAAAGGCCCCCGCCCATCCCCGGAAGTGCCTGGCAGGGCTGGGTGGTGGGGATTTTAAAATAAGCGGTTAGACAAAGGGAGGGGGCGTGTCCCTCCCCTCCTCCACCCCACATTTCACATAAGGGGGTGGTTTTAGAAATTCCAATTACCACTTTTGTGATACAAATACATTATACAATTGCCCATTTTCTGGATTTCTTCGCAACTATCCTTCTTTATACAACACCACTTTTTCCAGTTCTGTACAAAAACTTCTGTCACGTTCTAGCAAAACCTTTATCACATAACAGTCCTCTCTAGTTCCTACAATGGATTCATGCCAGTTAATCCTTTTCTATATTTTAACACATTTATGGTACTCATAAACAGTTTATTTTATTATGTTCTCCCCTGTAGCTAATTACCTGTTCTGTCCACTACTCTTTGTGGATTAACTTCGGCTACCATTATACCAATCTTCTTTGCATGTCCTCAAGCACATGTTTGTCAACTAAGACTTCTTTCTTTCTCTTTTTTTTATTTTTCGCCCATACTCCTCCTTATCTTTAATTCCACATACTTTTCCTTTTCTCTCTCTGCAACCAGGTCACATGCTAACATTCCTTTCTAGGGGTCTTATCAGCGTCTGACCCATCTCCTCCCCCCTTCTCTGTCCTTCCTAACAGGAATCTAAGACACTTCACAGGCTGCTGTCCAGACTTTCCTTAAACCCTTAAAAAACCACAACCTTCCTGTTATGAATGGCAAACATTAGCTTACAGACACACATTTAGGACATAACATAGCAGTCTTTCTTGGTGGGCTCTGGAGTACAGACCACTGAGTAACTCATCGTAACAAAAAAAAAATAAAAAAACCCACACAAACAGTTACGGGCTGTGACCCGCTGTCACACTACCGTGACGCAATATCCGACACCTCTTCTGTTGTGGTCAACACACAAGGTTACCACACCCAGAGAAATTATGTGTCAAAACCCTCAGTAGGTCCACTCCTCCTTGCCACACCTCAAGACTGATACATAAAAAACACACAACAGAGACCCAGGTAGACAGATTAAGCACTGCAGGTATATTTAAATAAACTCCGGGCATACAAGGTTACCTGCCTTTATTGTCCTTTAGGCAGCCGTACTAGGCACAGGTATGAATCAACAAACAAAGACAGGAATTAAGCAATGGTAAGATAGCAAAATATAATCTTACCATGCCCTCTGACCGAGAGGTGATCAAGCTCTCGGCCTGTCCAGTTTGGACTGACACCGTACGCCTTTTTCATGGCGGCTGGCTGCAGGTCATTATTCAGTTCCCAGGTTTCTTGCACCAAAATTGTTTTAGTCTTGGACTTAATCATCCAGTGCTTATCTGTTCCTGTCCAAAATTTATGACGCTGGCCAGCTTGTGGAATGTGCGCACATAAAGAAAACTCACACTGACACCTTTTGGGTCTGTGAATGTGGAAAACTTCTCTTTAATTTATTGAAATGAAACCGTGAGCTTATATATGAAAAATGATGCGAACATCACGTGATAACTGGCATAAGCAGGCAGTGTAAGTATATGAATTTGATTTGTTATCCTCTGTACTGCACCACATAAACTGTCAGAGGGCAAATACGTTGACAAAAATTATGCTGATAGAAGGAAAAGTGAATAGTGAGATGATCTTATACGCTGCTGTCCTTTCAGGAACCTGGGGTGGAGAGATGAACCAACTGTATTTCCTAAATGTATGTGATATAATTCACCTACCTAAACTGTGTTATGGGGCTGTGTAGTCAGCTGCTAAAGCAGTACCCATATACAGTTTCCATATACTGCAAGTATGTCATCTGTACTTGGCTGTTTACTTGATGTTTTGTTTTAAAGTGCACCTGTGCCCAGACTATGAACATTTAAACATTTACATATTCTTAAACAGTAAAGTAAAATTAAAACAAGCCTTACTCATCCCTCCAGCTGCTTGTACTGTAAAACAATGCATTCTCAAAGATCACAATAAAGACGGTATATGTCAGGCTTCAGTCAGTTTCTAACAGTTTAGAAACACCTGCTGTGTGTTTTACATTAGAGAACTGTAGGCTGCCAATATATGTTCTCCATAAAAATTATTTCAGTGTCTCTGTTGTGCACTTCAGGGCCCTTTCACACTATGTGCAGGCCTAGCAACTGGCTTGAAGGCCCTGACACTGTCACGGGGAACAGGTCACATGCTCCTTCATACCTCAAAATGCTGAGTATTAACAAGCCGCAGTATATTTACATATTCTTAATAAGCAATTCTTAAAAGGCGTCATACAATCCTTTACTCATCTTTCTAGCTGCTTGTGTTAAGTAAATCATTCTCCAAGATCACAACAATAGCTCTAAAGTCAGGTTCCAACTGACTGCCAAGACCATCAAGAGGCTACCAAGATTCTGCTATAATAGAAAAAAGGTCCAGGACTGATTTCTTAATCTGTGCTTTACTACTTATTGGTAGTGTTAGCCTATATGTTCAAGTTGAACGTTAGTTTGACTCGAACATTGGCCGTTCGTGTGTTTTGGTGAACACAGGAATGGTAAGGGCGTTCGGTGGGCTGTTCGCCCACTGCACCCCACAATTCACTGTGCCCTGACAGTGCATTATTAGCCAAAGCAATGCACCTAACCGCAGGATGATATCACAAGGGGGTGGGATGATCCCGCCTCCTTATGCTGTCATCACAATATTTAAGAACTGTCATCCCGGCACAGCTGTCAGACTGCAGAAGCCAGCGTTGAGAGTGAATTGTGTTTTTTTTTTTTTTAAATCTTTTTTCAAGTTGGGGTGGCAGCAGGCATTTTAATTGAAATTGGATCTACTTTTGGGGGACATATTTTACATTTTTGTTTTTAATAATGGACTTGCCAAGGACTGTCTACTGTCATTGTTTAGAGTACACTTTTTCTGTGAATGAGTAGTGGTACCATGTACCCCATACTCATTCACATGGGGGGGAAGAATCTGGGGGCCCCTTTGTAAAAGGAGGCTTCCATATTCCGATAAGCCCCCTGCCTGCAGACCCCCACAACCACCCGCCATGGGGGAGAAGAGGCCTTTGTCCCTATCAACATGGGGACAAGGTGCTTTGGGGGGTCCCCCTGCCCCAAAGCATGCCCCCCCATGTTGAGGGCATGTGACCTGGTATGGATCAGGAGGGGGGGGGCGCGCTCTTGTCTCCCCCCCCCCCCCCTTTTCCTGACCTGCCAGGCTGCATGCTTGGATAAGTAACCCCATCGACAGCTGAAACATTAAAGAATGTTTTTAATAGCTGTGCATTATCTTACCGCATACTCAGATGCGGTAAGATACCACTTAGTGAATTGTCTCCTCTGTTCGAAGTTTGTGGTCAAACTTTCATTGTGTCCGAATGTAAAACCGTGAACTGAACGGGGGGGTGTTTGGCCCATCACTACTTACTGGTTTGCTCTCCAGCAAGTGCCTGCAATCATTCATCAGGACAACATTGATACTCTATCTTGGCTAATTGTTTCCTATCATGCTGTAATTCTTTGTTATTCCTAGTTTTCTTCTAGACCTGTGTTGTTTATACATTTAACTTTTCTTTTGCTGTTCCTTTTCTATTCATAATAATCAGCCCTGAGGGAGGGGATATTGAATCTGAATGGCATTGGCTTCCTATAAACTTTCAATAAATATTCCACCTTACCAGGAAGATTGATATTTCTCTCCTATCTTCCTTAGCCTTTTGAATATGGGCTTCGTCCCTTTTTGAGTGGAGTGCCTATTCTTTTATTTCTTCTCACTACTCATTGAGACCTTGACAGAAGCAAGTATACTGGTTGCCTGCTCTGACTGTGAACATGTTCTGGGTCAATGTTTCAGATGTGAATGCAATGATGAGGATGACAGTCCTGGAATGTGTACCTTTCAAAAGATATTAGCAGTAGCACTCACAACATATTTATCCTGGCAATTTCATTTAACACTTTAATACCATGCTATAGCCGAAAGACGGCTACAGCGTGACTCTCTTGTTCTGGGAGGACGTCTATAGAAACACGCATCGGGTGCGCTCTGTGACCTCTATGTCCTTTTGGATACAGCTAATCACAAATTGCAGTAAGGGCCAATCACAGCAGCCCTTTACTATGTGATCAGTTGTATCCAATCACAGCTGATCACATGTAAACTGACTTGCCTGTTTTCGGCAGTCTTCATCACACGTTGCGTCTCTGCGGGGAAAAGACAGCCAATACCAGCAAGGCTCTCAATACTTGGGACAGCGCTGAAAGCTGAAAATTGGCCTAGGTAAGAAGGGGGTAAAAGTGCTAGTGTTAAAGTGGTTAATGAACTATATATACAGACAATACAGAGAAACTTAAAATAATTCTATATGTCTATATCTCAATGACAGAAAATGTTCAGAATGAAATTGAAAAGGTCATTGGTTCAGGGGAACCTCGGGTGATGCATAGAAAACAGATGCCTTATACTGATGCTGTCATCCATGAAATCCAAAGGTTTGGTAACACTGTGCCAATGAACGTTCCGCATGCCACTACTCAAGATGTGACTTTCAAAGGATTCTTTATACCCCAAGTGAGTATCACATTTTATCTTTTATTTATTTTATGAACTGCTCAAATTTTAAATGCATTGGTTAAAAAATGCTGGGCATTAAAAAAATAAATGTAATGCAAACAGACATTTTCTTTTTTTTTAGGTGTTGCCTTATGTTAGAATGACAGGTGACCAGGGCTTTTTTCCAGTGGGAACGCAATTCCAGCACCTCCAGCATTGGATGTATGTAATGGCAAGGGGTGCTGGGATGTGCTGGACAGTCTATTGATGCTGGCTGCTGGGAGATCTGATGTTGCTGCTGGTGTCTTTTGTTGATGGGGTGGCATTTTATTGTGGGGGGTCCATTGTTGCTGGTGGATCTATTGTTGCTGGAAGGGGGACACTGTTGAGGGAGTGGTCTTTGCTGCTGTCAGCTGGACAGTCTATTGATGCTGGTTGCTTGGAGATCTGTTGTTGCTGCTGGTATCTATTGTTGATGGAGTAGCATTTTGTTGTGGGGGTCCATTGTTGCTGGTGCATCTATTGTTGCTGGGAGGTCTGTTGCTGCTGGCTGCAGGGAATCTGTTTTACTGCTTTTCTTGTTATCATTAACAATTAACAAATTCCATGCAAAGTACTTAGCACCTCAAAATTATACTTGCCTCTGTATTCTCTAAAGGGAGTGGTACTGGAAGGTGGGTAGGGGGTGGAACCAAGGGACGGTGCTCAGAGGTGGGGGGGGGCAGAGACAAGAAGTGATTCAGAAGTGGGGAGTGTCTGCATCTATTCTCTGAGGAGACCACTGTTTTTTGGTTTTTTTTTTTACAGCAACCTGTGTACAGAACCAAATAAAAATGTTACATGGCTAATCCAATTAAAGCTGCCAAACTAGCTGCTGACAAACCCTGTGCTTACAATCACACCGGAAAAAAATTACATTAAAGGTACAGTTCACTTCTAGTATGTATAAAGAAGTTGCTCAAATATTCAAAGGTTATACAGCAAACACTCTAGTTCCCCCATCCCTCCCTGCCTCCAACCATCCCCAACACCCCTCCAAACACAGACCTTATCCAGTACCCATACAATAGGCCGGGTGTCGGCAACCCACGGCTCCAGAGCCGCATGCGGCTCTTTTTCACCTTGGCTGCGGCTCCGGAGCACACTGCCCACCAGGTGACAGGCAATAGGGCAGCAATGGGCAAACTACGGCCCGGCGGACCTTTTAATCCGGCCCGCGGAGCTAGGCTCCTCTCACAGTCCGCCCTGAAGACCGGTGTAGCATGAAAATCTGTCTCCTATGAGGATCTGTCCCCCTCGACGTATCTGCGCATGTGCCGGAGATCGCCGATCGGCTGCTAATGCCTGAAACTGGCACATGCGCAGATACGTCGAGGGGGGGGACAGATCCTCATAGGAGACAGATTTTCATGCTACACCGGAACGGCGTGGGAACACGGCGAGAGGAAACGCGCGGAGCAAAGGTAAGTGAATTGACGCAGGGGGGACTTGGGGACTTAATATGGGGGATGAATTAATATGGGGAATGAATTACTATAGGGGGATGAATTACTATATGGGGGATGAATTACTATATGGGGGGATGAATTACTATATGGGGGATGTATTACTATGGGGGATGTATTACTATGGGGGATGTATTACTATGGGGGATGTATTACTATATGGGGGATGAATTGCTATATGGGGGATGTATTTTCAGTTTTTAAAAATGTGGCTCTCAAAATAAATTTCAATCGTGGTTTTGGCGAGATTTGGCTCAGTTGAAAAAAAAAAAGGTTGCTCACCACTGACCTAAGGCTATGATTGTGATTATGACGATACACTGTGGCCCTGATTAACCCTTTGCTTACTGGACCCTTAAACCCCCTTCATGACCAGAGCGCTTTTTGCAATATATGCAGTGTTGGATTTGTTTTAAATGTTTGCAATGGTTTTGCGGCTCCCAGTCTCTTTTTCCCTCTCGGAAACGGGTCCAAGTGGCTCTTTATGTCTTAAAGGTTGCAGACCCCTGCAATAGGCGAACACCACTTAAGGCTTGGTTCACACCTGTGATTGTTGCAATCTGCTGTGAGAAAAAAATCCCCAACCCTATCTAAAAACACAGTGGCTGAAAATGCATAGATGTGAATATGCCCCATAGAAAACCATGTTAAATGGACTATAGTGAGTTTCTGCAAAAGGCAAAAAGCACTGAAAAATGGAAAAAAGGTGTAAACTAGGCCTAACTCACCACCACTAAGTAGTCCCCTGCCTATCTCTCTAATTGATCAGAGTCCATTTGCCAGAAACCATTGATGTGCAGCGCTGCCCCAAAAGAGCCCCTGGCGACTGGGCCTATTTCCCCCTTACAGCACCTACAGCCAGGCACATAGCATTTCTGGCACAAGTCCACAGGTTCAGTAATCAGTCTAGGGGATTTTTTTTTTTGGTGTTTTTATTGGGGAACAATGAACTTAGGTTGGGAGCATAGGATACCACAAACTGTAGAAATTGGACATCTTGAGGATCACTTTAATTTCTGGCTGCTCTCTACAGGTTGCAACTGTACTGCACAACTTTTAGCTGCAATGTACTTTCTCAGCTGTCTGCAATGGTGGTAGTAGTACTACTACTACTACAACTCCTTGCTGTCTTGCACTGCTCCTGACTATACTAAGTTCAGTCTCTGAGAAGTGGTGTGTCTCTAGTTAACTTTCACAACTTCTGGCTGCACCCAGTCCAGACTTATTGTCAGGGATAGCTCCCTCACCGTCAAACAGCTGTGCGTCGGCACCGGATCCCTGCAGCCGTGGCGGCGCGAGTTTAAATGCTCAGGAGCGTGCGAGTGCATGCATGCGCACTAGCGTACACGTAACCGCAAGGCAGGCTATTTAAACCACCAGCACAGTTTAGCATATGCCTTCTGGTCTATAACTTCTTGCACTTCATAACCTGATTCTGTTGCATATATATGATCTGACCCTGACTAAGAAAGAACTCCGCCTGCACTGACCCGGCTTTTCCCTGACTATCCGCTTGCCTGCTCCCTTGTACCTGACCCGCTTGATTGATCTTGACTCAGCTTGTCTGACACTGCTGCACATACATACCTGTATCTGCACCTGGCCTGTATCTTGGTTGCCGCCATACTTACCTGCTGTAGGTACGTTCCTGCACCTGGCCTGCACCCTGGTTACCGCCATATCTGCCTGCTGCCGCACCTACGCTCCTGTGTCCGCTCCTGGTCTGTATCCTGGTTGCCGCCATACCTGCCTGCTGCTGCACCCACGTTCCTGCATCTGCACCTGGCCTGCGTGTGGATCTTCTGGGTCCTCACCTGCCTACCATCATCTCCATACCCACCCGGCACTCGTGCCACTCCTGGCTCGGCGCCCTCTGTCCCCACTATCAGGGGCTCCGAGCTGCACATCAGGCTCCCCAACCAGGTACGTGACACTTAGTGTATTGCATTCTACAGTCACTTCTCATTTTAATGTATGTATTAGGTACTTGTTAGTCCCAGAAATGGAGCTTTCACACTGCAGAACCCCTGGCTTGTTGACTCAATGCTGACCTAGTCTGTCTCTCCCTTTCCAGTAGGGCCCTCAGTTAAGCCTAGCTAAAACCTTCATGGTTGTACCAAACTCCTGAGGCCTCTCTCCTTCCTCTCCTCTCTGCCCCAGGGACAGAATCCCCAGCACAGGGGTCTCCACCAGATGCCTGAACTCTGCTCCCAGACTGCCAGGTCTCAGGGCATTTTAGGGGGTTTTTCTCCACCTACTGGGCACACCTCCCCAGGGATTGGTTGGAGATCCATAAATATTCAGGCTGCTTGTTCTGCTCTTCCTCCCATTATACTTCAAGAACATTCCAGGAGACCACGGGAAAGCAGCAGACCAGCAACCTTTGAGACTCTGCACAGCTCCTAACACAATTAACCCCTGCTCCTCTGCCTACCGGGGAGCCAACTAAATTGACCTAGCAACCTACCAACTACGAGGGTGCTAAAAATGCTAAAGCTTCAGCATGACAGAGAACTACAATTGAAAAAAGAGATTTCTATAATGACACCCTCCACGATTCTCACATAACATGACCCATTTAAACATGATTGGTGAGGCTGGGGTCAGAGACAGTAAATTAAAGCTTCCAGGAAGTGCACCTTCTCCCTCCTACTTATCCTATGCACAGCTATGTGCATGTAAATGCAGTTGATTATAAAGATCTTGTAATGAAATGTCTTCAGCCTTTACCATTTGCAGGTCGTTAATCAATTCTGCAGCCCAGGTCTCTGCTGTACACACCTGACGTCATTGGATGACTTTCAGGCAAGGACAGTGCTTCAAACCTGTGCCTGCAACAGGTCTACTGTTTGATCAGATCACAGAGAGGTCTGTGTTCCTAACACCCCGGTCACATTCGTATGCCATGCGACTTTCAAATCGTATGCCAAGACGCACCATATTGTCCACTATTGGAGCAGTCATATTGGTGCGGTTCCGACTTGGTCAGAGTCACACAGATTTCTAAAGTAGTGCATGCGCTTCTTATGGTGCGATTGCATACACATCTGTGTCAGATGTCTTGCAAACTGCACCTCAAATCAGCAAGTCAGCCGACTTTGAAATTGTGCGACTTCACTGTAAGTCGCACGATTTTAAAATCGGCTTTGATGTGACCGGGGTATAAATAAGCTACCATTGCTGACATCTTCTTTTGAGAAACTCCTAAGCTGTCATGCTGACATTTTGACTTCACCTTTGTGTCACTAATGAAAAACATGCATAGAGATAATTAATGCTGACACTTTTCCAACACTCATGTACAGCATCCTTGTTTCAGACCTTTGACTGAAGATGCTGTTGGCCAATATGTCTTTAATGCTGTTGGCCAATATGTCTTTAATACCCAAACCACAGAAAGATCACTGTTTAACACAAAACTATAGACCAATCTCAGTAATGAATAATGATCTGAAAATATTTAGCCACATTTTGGCGGACAGGTTGGCCCCTATTATCTCCTCTTTGGTCTCC